GGCCCGCTGCACTGTGGGTAGGCGGCGGCGGCGTCCGCGCGGAGGGCCGGCGGCCGAGAGAGGCCGCGCGCGGAACATGGCCGAGAAGCAGAAGCACGACGGACGGGTGAAGATCGGACACTACGTTCTGGGGGACACGCTGGGCGTCGGCACCTTCGGCAAAGTGAAGAGTGAGTGCGGGCGCGGCGGGCGGCGAGGGCGGCAGGTGGAAGCGCCCACGGTCGGGAGCGGGGAGGCGGCCGCACCTTGTCCCGCGGGGCGGGCGGGGAGACGGGCTGCGGGTCCGGATCCCGGGTCCTGGGGGCCCGGCCGCCCGGCCCTTCTCCATCCCCGGCGTCCCCGTCTGCAGACCCGGGAGGCCCGCCGGGTCCGCAGGGCTCCGAGGAGGCGGGGAGAGGATGCGGGCATCCCCACGCCGCCGGTCGCGAGGGCCACCGCCGCTGATTGCCGGGGGCCCTGCCGGAGCGTCACTGGGCACCGGCTGCCTCCTGACAGTGGCGAGGTCAGGCTGCTGTGCTCACCCCGAAGGTGAGAACGCTGGAAGTCTAGCGACACGCCCAAGGTCACAGAGACCTGGCGGCGAAGCCCAAGATGTCCTCCGATTTTGGCCTTGCTGACAGGTCCCTTCCCTCCGCGGGTTCTTGGCGGTCCAGGACTTTGGTGGAGGAGTTGACTGGGGGGTTGCTGGAGGGCCAGGAGGTGGCGGGTCCCTCTGCTGCGAGCCCGGAGCCCTGGAACGTAGCGGGATTGCGCCACGCGTTGTGGGAACCCCGAGGGCTGCAGGTTGATTGGTGTGTGTACAATGGTTTCTAGAAAGGCTGTTGGAATTTGGGGCCGAAGAAGTCAGAACTGCTAAGGCACATATATATATATATGTTCCTGAGGTCAGTTTTCTTAGCGGTGAGATTGCGTTGGGGGCTTAGAAAAACAAGCAGCTTTTTGAAATTTCATACTGTACTACTAGTAAAGTATTAAACTTTGTTTTCTTATTAGTTAATAAAAGTCACATGGGATTTAATTACCTGTCCTTAATCCAGAACTACAGCCCTTATTAAAAATACTTTGCTGCAAGTTGAGAAAAGTGAAACATTAGCTTTTTTTTTTTTTTCTGTTTTGTTGAATAAATGCTGGGTAGGCAGTCTGGAAATTTTATGCTGAGGTTTTTTTTTTAACCTCAGGTGAAGACTGTTGAATAGAAAGGAGACACTCCTGGTAAGGATCAGCTCCTATTCTCCTCGACATATCTAATACCCATTTGTATAATGAAAAAGCTTTATTGAGCACTTCAACATGCTAGGCACAGTGCCAGGCATCGGCGCTCCAGGAAGGAACAAAACCAGATCTTTCCTGGAGCTTCCTTTCTAGAAGGGTAAGATAAACAACCAGCATATATATCATACATATACATACATATATGTACATATATATATATATATATATATATATATATATGCTATTGAGAGAAGTGAATAAGGGAAAAGAAAATAGTGCAGTTTGTGAAGTTGGCAAGTTTATAATAAGCTGGCCACATAAGACCGCACAATGGTATTCGTGTACGGACCTAAAATATTTGCAAAATTCTTCAAAGTCTTATGAAGTCAGGATTATTTTTGTAAGCTCTTGTAAGAATGGATATTAAGAGATGGAGATACTGCATCAAAGCCTGACAATATTGCTGAGGATTGTTGCTTTATGACTTTATACAGTTACCCAAGCAGCACCCTTGCCATTTAGAGTAAATTATATGTTAACCCCCTATCCTTTCAAATTTTGTTAAATGCTTTTGGTTGCTTTTAAAAAATTCTTTTACTGGAGGCTGGAGAAATGGCTCAGTGGTTAAGAACACTGCTACTCTTGCAGAGGACCCAGGTTCGATTCCCAGCACCTACTTTGCAGCTAGCAACAGTCCATAACTCCAGTTCCAGGGGATCTGATGCCCTCTTCTGGCCTTCACAGGCACTGCACATGTGTGTGCTCTTACATATGAGGCAAAACACTCACACACATAAAAATAGCCAGGCATGGTGCGGCATGCCTATAGTCCTAGCACTTGGGAGGCAGAGGCAGGCGGATCTCTGTGAGTTCAAGGCCTGCCTGGTCTACATAGTGAGTTCCAGGCCAGTGGGGGCTACAGGGAGATCCTGTCTGAAAAAGATAAATAAATAAATAAATAAATAAATAAATAAATAAATAAATATAAATGAAATTTAAAATTTCTTAATTTTTTTAATGTATTGTTTTTGTTTTTATGTGTATGAGTACATTGCCTGCATGTATGTGAGTGCACCCATGTTGTGCAGTGCTGCAGAGGTCAGAAGAGGGTGTCTAATTCCCCTGGGACTGGAGTTAAGGATGGTTTGTAGCCGTCATGTGGGTGATGGGAACCCAGGTCCTCTGCAAGAGCAGTCAGTGCTCTTAATCGCTGAGCCATCTCTCCAGCCCCAAAATAAATTGTTTTACCATACTCTTGATGTGGAGACTATACCCATCAGATCACTTAGCCCATTGGCAAAGGACGATTTAAATCTATTTAGGATATAGTCTCCAGCTGCTTCTAAGTACTGGCTTCCTAAAATATAAAGTTAACAGAAAGAATTTTGGGGGTAAATGATGTGTTTATTAGTGTAAGCATGTTCTACATAATTTTTGGATGTAATTATGCTAAAAAGTATTTGTTGTCTATGTGAAATTCATGTTTGAACTTTCTGCAATCAAGTGACTCCTCCATAGAATACACTCATTTTATAAAATATTTATTATTTTTATTTTATGTGTATGAATGTATTGCCTGCATGTGTGTAAAAGCACCCATGTCCTGCAATGCCCTCAGAATCAGAAGAGGGCGTCAGATCCCTGGAACTGGAGTTATGAATGGTAGTTTGCCATCATGTGGGTGATGGGAATGGAACCCGGGTCCTCTGCAAGAGCAGGCAGTGCTCTTAACCACTGAGCCAGCTCTCCAGTCCCTCCTTTATTTTTTAATAGGAATTTTTGCAGTCATGGATTTTCTTTAAAAATGTGAAACACTTCATGAATTTTTTTAATTCTGTATTGTTCCAATTTTATTTACTTTTATTTCTATTATTATTTTTTAAGACAGGGTCTCTCTGTAGCACCAGTTGGTCTGGAACTCAATGCTTCCTAAGTGCTGTCATTAGAAGCATGCACAACTATGCCTGGGGAACCCCCGTCAAATGAACAGCTGGTTGGAGTTTTTCTGATACTCTTTGATCTTCTCTAAAGAGATATTGTGGTGTGATAGTAGCCACCTTCAATCTTCTGATTGACACAAGGTAGAATCACCTGGGAAAGGAGTCTCAATGAAGGATTGCTTAGTTCAGGTTAGCCTGTGGGCATGTCTTGGGGGGATTGAATTGATTATATTAATTGAGGTGGAGGGCTACCCACTATGGGCAGAACCATTCCCTGGGTTTGGGTCCTGGACTGCATAAGTATACAGAGAGGGCAGAGCTTGAGTAGGCATGCATGCCTTCTGTTTCTGCTCTTGACTGGTTGTGACTAGCTGCTTCAAGTTCCTGCCTTAGTTACACATAATGATGGATAGTAATCTGGAGTTGTGAGCTTAAATAAGCCCTTTGAACCCAAAGCTGCTTTTTGTAATGGTGTTTTATCATAGCAACAGAAATGAAACTAGGACATGTGGTTTCATAGTTAAGAGTAAAACCAATACAGTTGTTTTTTGATACCAATTATAAAAATCACTACAACTAGGGGCTGGAGATATGGCTCAGTGGCTAAGAGCACTGGTTCAGTTCCCAGCACCCACATGGCAGCTAACAACTTTCTGTACCTCAAGTTTGAGGGCCTCCAGTGCCACCTTCTGACCTCTGCAGACATGGCACACAAGGGTACACTTCTGTAGACATGTACGCAAAATACTCATACACAAAAAAGTAAATAAAATATTTAAAAACCACTACAACTAAAATTGTTCAATTCTTCAAGGCACTGGTGAAGTAAAGCATATGCATTTAAAATATGTTTTCATTTATTATTTGAGAATTTCATACATGTATACAATGTGTTTTAATCAAATCTACCTCTAGTCCCTCCTCTCCAATCCTTCCCATATCTCCCTACCACATCTCCCTCCTGACTCTTATAATTTGGCCTTTTTTTGGGTCTTTTTGAGACAGGGTCTCCCTGTAGCTCCAGGAGACCTGGAACTAGCTATGTAGACCAGGCTGGCTTTGAACTCACAGAGATCTGTTGGTCTCTGCCTCCCAAGTGTTGGGATTAAAGGTGTATGCCACCATGCCTGGCTTCTTGTACTCTTTTTATTAAAACCCACTGAGTCCATGTAGTGCTGCCAGTATATTGGTATGTGCATGGGTGCAGGCCATACCCTGAAGCATGGGCAGCCTACCCTGGGACACATTTCTGAAGATGATGGATTATCCCTCCCTCAGGAGCCATCACCTGTTCATGGCTCCTCAGCGAGGGTGGGTTTTCATGAGCCCCTCCCCCCATCCAAGGCACATGCATTTTGAAAACATTATTGAGATAGGTTTTACGTATCATGAAAGTCATCCATTAAAAGTATATCGCTAACAGTTTTTAATAATTTTTCTAAGTATTGTAGGCATCATTGTAGATCAGTTGTGCAGCATCTATTTTAAACATTTACAGTTAACTCATCCCCACCCTTAACCCTGGAAGACCATTAATTATGGTCTATATAAATAATGCTTTTTCTGGGTATTTCTTGTAATTGGGCTCATTGAATATGGAATCTTTTAGGAGCAACTTCTTTAGTGATTCTTTTGAGGTTCATGCCCAATATTGTCATTGATTTGCTCCTTTTTATTGTTTACTATTCCATTGTATGGATAGAATAATTTTTCCCAGGCATATACCAGTTGCTGGACATTGTCTTAAGTTTTGGGTTACTATAAGTAGTGCCTCCATGCATGTTCACACGGAAGTCTCTCTGTGTGTGTGTATGTGTGTGTGTGTGCGTGTGTGCGTGCGTGTGTTGCTTCCCTGAGAGAATACATAAGAAGAAAACCTTAAAAGGAGGATATAGTTCAACTGAGGTTTAAGTGGTTTCAGCCTGTAGTCACCTGACTCCATTGCTCCTGTGTTGTGATGAGGTGGGACACTGTGGCAGAGGGCATACAGATCTAAGAAGCTTATTTCATGAAAGGTG